TCAGCGTCCAATACACGTTCTCACTGAGCTGATTGCAGCTACGCGATGTCGCATACTGATCCGACGAATTATAGCAACCGTGCGCGTGTGTGCGTCGTGCAAATGCTGGCGCGCGCTTCACCGAATAACAAAACGAACTACTAATTTGAATTTCCTCAGATGCGTCTTAAGAAGCACCTTTGCAAATGCCTTCTTTTATTGATTTCTTCAAAATGACAGCTTGCCAGAATGAATAATTTCACAGGGAGTTTAGTCCCCTTACTACATGTATCTTTCAACCAAGAATGTTTTTCAACAATAATGACGCCAGTTACTTTTCGGATAGCTGCAAATGATGGACTCTAGCTTTAAACCTTTTGTGGGGGGGGGGGGGGGGGGGGAGGGAGGGGGAGAGGAGATCATTTTTATTATACTTCCCCTACCTGAGATACACAGTGTTTTACAATATTACCCAGAGCAGTTAATTATTAAAGTCTTCTGTATAAAATTGATGATAAGTTCAGGTCACTTCACTGAAGCATCTAGTCAATGTACAAATTGTACACAACATCCCTAAATTCTCAAGCACTGAAAGAACCCTGTAGAGAAGTGAGCCCTCTATTGACGGGAAAATAAAATGAATGAGCACTACATGTAATTGTATGCTGATGCATAATGCCGTTGACACACATTGCAGTGGCAGGTAATGAACCAGCAAGCCCTTGTCATTTACAGAAAGTAAAATAAAGAATGATAATAGTATATGTTTATCTTCCAGATGCTAAAATTCTTCTGTAATCTTCCTGAACCTACCGGTAGTAGGATACCCCCATACACATTTTAGAAATATTTCTATAGTAAAAAACGTGGAGTAAACCTCTGTCAATACAAATGTAGCTGTGAAACTATTCAGAGTAACCTTTTTAACAGAAATATTAAACACTTATTAAAAGTCCCTAAATGCTCACTTTGAAGTTAAAGACAAGATTTTATTATCTGTATCAAAGGTCTACATTGTACATTTAAATTACATGACTCATCAGCCATTTGGGATAGCACACAGTCACGCACACAACAATTCTACAAATTGTAACACTGCAATTCTGTTGAACCTGCAAGAATTTAAACCTACAAAATGTACATGTACCGGTATAGCTTCTTTGATTGAACCCAGAAAGCATCCCTCAGCAGTCACACTAAAAAAAATCAGTACTAGTCCATGCTCTCTTTAGGATGACCTAATGATGAAACCATCTTTGCTCCTACCGATACATGTATACATCAACCTCCTTGCATCCCCACATCCCTGTGGTTGTCTTGTTCAGTGAGGGAGTCTTCTGGGCTCTCTAGCCTCCAGATGCTCTTGCTGATGCAGCGATGACCAACCGTGTTCAACATGCCAGGAATGTGTCGTGTCACATGATGTCATCTCCCCTAGCACCAGTGGAAATGTACTGTTGAACTTCAGACAGACTAGACGCATGAAGTTGTGACGTGTAGACAGAGCTACCCATATATTATTTTTAGTCGATTAGTAACAAATTTGAAGAAAACATCCAAGTGAACTTTGGTTTTTATGTGGAATTACATGTACAATACAGGTCTAAATATAATTTAGCTAATCTGAGAACAGCAAACTGTATCTAAATAATGTATTTTTTTATATGTACCAGTGATAATTACATGAATTAATGAAATTATTGGCCTACAGGCCTACCGGTACGTATGCATGTAAGGCCTGTGGTTGGGGGGGGGGGAACCACATTATTTGTCAGCACATTATAATTCTAAAACATGTAATGTCCGGATCTACAATTTGTCATAACTGAATTTTAAGAGAATATATTGTCTCTTAGGTTTCTATTTCTTCCTTCCTTTTTTTTGGGGGGGGGGGGAGGAGGGGAGGGGGAGAATTACCACCCATGCTGCAGTGTGTTAGGAGTTTAAAAAATGGATTGTTATAAAAAAAAAAATTGTTTAGGCCTTTCCTAAATGTCATGAAAGCAGTGACAGTAAACTCAGTCTTCGTTTTACACAGTTTCGACACCACAGATGAACATCAAAGACATAATTTGTTTTGCTCATATGGCCAACCAGTTTTGGATACCAATTTTAAAGTATACCGGTATCTTCAATAGGTTTTGTTGTGTTCTTGTTTTTTGTTCATGGCAGTTGATTCTGATCTTGGATGATGGGGTTTATGTGATGAGGTTTCTCGAAGGATATCCCTTAAGAGGATAGGATCATTTGCATTTGTATCCCAAAAAGTAATCTACCAAGTTATTATCAAAAAAGCTTACTTGGATTAAAGATCATACTGGTACTAAACACCATGTGCAATTAATAGTCTGGCTTGCTGTCATTTAGAAGAAAGCAAGAAATGTAGGTAATTTCCAACGATCAGTCAATTGACAGATTTTTGGAATAAAGAGTGCTATTGACAAAAATGTGTTTCGTGATCAAGAGGTTGTACATGGTTTTTCACTGTTTTCTGGAAAAGTGTAATATCCACTGAGCTGAAACTTCAACAGGCTAAGTTTTGAACAATTTGTTTAAAATTTGAGTGGTGTTATTATTGGAAACGAACAAGATGCATGAAACGTGAATGATTCTTCGGGCCTTTAATTAGTCTTATAACTCTAATTTCTAGAGAGAATACTGCATATGGTATTGATAACTGTATCATAAAGCACCCTTTTTTGGCTACTCCTCTATTTACAACAGCCCCCTCTATCTGCCTGCGAATGGATGCTTCACTCATCACAAGATTATGAAATATTGAATTGAACTGGTATGAGCTTGTTGACCTTGCCAATTACGTGGCTGAGAAAAACACACTCAGAAAGTTCCAGGTTGTGTTTATGCCACCCCCTTTTACTGTTCATGGATCAGCCCAAGTTGATGACTTAAAAGAGAATGTTCCATTAGTTGCAAGGGTGCTTGGATCTCAGTTGCAGGGGTGCTTGGATCTTTACCAAGTCTTGATGAAATCTGGACAATTTTGTGATTGGTGTGATCTTTGAATTGATTCCCTTATTAAATTTGGTAGAAAGAGAATTTCATTTATCAATCCCTTACATAGATTTGTGTTTGGTACAACAATTGCCCCAAGAAAATATTAATAATGTAGGAAATATGATAATTAGAAGGCTCCTTTGTTTTTGTCATCCACTCGATTGGATACATCATCACAGCTGCTTAGGATGGGATGGTGTTGCCCACTGAGTCCATAAAGTTAGTCGTGGGACTTTGATTGGTCGATGTTAATGTATGATGTAATGTCTGGTTGGGCCTTAAAACATCTGCTTCCAGAAAGTCAGTCAGTCAAAGAGCAGTGCGGCAGCCATGTTGCTTACATGTATTTCAAAGTGTAAACATTTTGTGAATGTGTTCATCATGGTCACAGCATCAGTAAGTGATTTTGCGACGTGGAGATTTCATTGGATACCTACGTACCGGTACTTGTAGTCTCTCTTCTAATGTGTTATGAACGTTGCCCAGTTCTTCAGCACATCTTGAAAGTGTTATGACAGTATGGACAATGATGGAGGAACTGATGTTCTCACTGGATAAAATTTGCTTGTACGGAGTATAAGTTTCTGAGCTTAAGAAGCACAAACTCTAACTGCCTGGAAATGGAATGAATGTTTTCGGGCAAGATCAGATCTGGCAGAAAAAAATGCCGCCAGATCCAGAGCTGACTCGCTTCTGGAGCAGGAGAAATGTGAACAGAAAGAGCAAACTGTATTCATGCACCGATACAAGGAGAGCGAAGATTAAGGAGATCACAGGTAAAGAAGTTGGCAGGATTGAGTCTCTTTGGATGAACTTACTGATTTTTTTCCCAAGCCATCCGTAAAGTTTCTGTTTGTTGTTTTGTGCTTGTGGATTTAGTACGTTGTGGAGACAGATTATAGAGTGTCGATCATGTCTTGCAGCAGAGCCGATGCAGTGACTGTCACAACAGATGGATAATTGCATCATTTCATTTTCATGTTTGTGTGCAGTACACTTCATTTACCTTTGTAGGTACATGGTTATTCTGAAGGGCTTTTGGTATTAAAAAATGACAGCAAAATACTCCTGGTTGTGTTTTGTAAAGTACATGTACACATGTACACTACACTGTACATGGACAACAATTTAATCTTGTGATAATCCTTGTAATAAAAAGAAGACATTGCAATAAAGAGTGGCATTCAATGTTCATTCAAAATATTGGGGGCCTATGAGATCATTTTGTTTCAAAAAGGATGATGCACACATTTTGTCACATTATCTTATTCCAAATTATTCAGTGGATTCAAAACCTCTTGTCTGCGGAATACTTCTACTGATGACTCCTGCATACATGTAGGAGCAGGGAAGCAAAAGTACCTGTGGTTTACATTATTTTGTGTTTAGTCCGAGTGGAGTAAACATTTGATGAAGCCAGCCACAAGTCAAGTTAAGTGTTATAAACCTGGACATGCTGTTTAACATGGTGAAGATGAAGTTCAATACCAGAACATTACTTGTACATGTAGAACTGTCATCACTTTATTTTCCTAATAAGAAAAAGTACTACACCAATTGTGACGTACATGTATGAAGAGTGCAAAAGAAGTGGATTGAATTTATTTTGATTTTGTTGAATCAAGAAGTCAAATTCAATGATAGTGACACCCGGTCTACATGTTTTCATGTATACGCAGCACAAAAGAGAACAGGTCTGATTTCTATTTTGGTATGTCAAGTTACAGCACTTGCAAAAGTTGAACACATCTTAACTGTTGTGAATTTTGCAGTGACTGTTCGGTGATGTAACATTTGCTTCGTATTTGCTTTCATGTAAAGCACAACTACATGTGCCTGTACATGTAAACCAGCATGCAGAATTAGTAACTAGTGATGTTGCCTAAAGGTAAAGCTTTGTACCGGTAAGAATAGTAATTTTGACCAAATTTTGTTTGAAATTGATCAATTTAAAAAACAAATTTGTTTAAATTGGCATTGTGTTTTCATTTTTTTTTTTCTTACAGAGAAACTGCTCAACTCAACAGGACGAGAACTCAGGAGGGCGCTGTTTTCACTCAAGCAAATATTTCAGGTATACTTGATATTGCAATTAATTTCGCCACATCCTATTTTTTTATTCACCTTGCCAAACCAAACTCTTAGATCTGTCCCAGTGATTGTTTGCGTTTGGGAGATAAAATGTACAAGTTCATCCACCTGAAACAACAAACACAAGATGCACGTGTGATAGGGAAGAAATAAACTTCATTTTCTCATTCTAAAAAAAAAGTATAAATGCATAAATAAATATGTACATGTACATGTACATGTATGTTGTTTACCATATATTATTTTGCACTCTGCTATGTTAACAATGCAGGTGAAGAATACTAATATAAAGAACAGTAATATTCATTTTTCAAAATTATGTCTTTATAATTTTCAAACAAGTGACAAAATCCGTGGATCAATACATGAAGACTTCATTTCCAAAAACGCGATAAACGCCATTTTGTTACCTCTTAGAATGCCGCCCTCTCCTGGCTGCCCAGTCAGTTTCGACAGCTGTTACATGTTTATAGTTAAACACAATTTAGGAATACAGTAAAGTGAAAAATGAAATTTAGATACAGCTCTAGTACTGTTCTTAATCTTTTCAAGTTGTATAACCGGTGCAAATTTTTCACTTCTTTCAAATGGATATTTCGGGTTTGGAAATAAACTCGTCACATGAAATTACAGCCTTTTTGATCAAAACTAGGCCTATTTGACAAAGCAGCTGTAATTTCACAAATCCCAAAGTCCCTTGCCCTGCAGGCTGGGATGATGAACATGAAAAAAATTCCTTTCCCCTGGGTCAGTTTATCCTGTCAAAGTACTGGTACAAGACACACCAAAGTACAGACTGCAATACACAGCCCGAGACATGTTAACCTCAGTAATTAATGGCCCCACCGACATTATGATGGAATTATCTGGAACAGCGGGGAGTCGTACGAGATTCAAGGAATAAACGGTTAAAGGGCCGCCAATGATGAGTGGGAAGACTTGTGAACGGTACAGACCAGAAAACGCATTGCCAAGATTGCTGTTGCGGGAAGTTGTAATTAGTGGAATAAATGAGCCAGTTCAGTGTTCCGAACTATGTCCACTCATCAAGATTAGTTTCCTTTTGGCTGAACAATTCAATGTCACAAATCATAATTGCCTTGCCTGCAGGCTTGGATGATAAATATTGAACAATTCCTCTCCTCTGGGTCAGTTGATCCTGTCAAAGTATAGGAAACTCCACTCAGCACAGTTGGAAATTGAAGAAAAGTTTGTGTACTGAATTGGTCACAATGGTCCCCAAAACACAGGATCTTAATGTGGTTAAAATTAATATGTTTTACACTTAATATAGGCTATATACATTTACTTGCTCCAACATTTATGTGAGCAGAAATCTTTTTTGAAATCTCTGATTGAATGAAAATACAATGTAGCAAATTGCAGATTCAGATACCACTTCTCCCTTAAATTTGTGTACATACATGTACCTGTATGGTATCTGTGGCATTTTCCTAAATCAAATTTTGTATACATTGTAAACCTGATGTTCACATGCACAGTTGAAACATAACTTCAGGAGTAATGTAGTATGTGTACAAGCCAAGAATATCATTGGTTGAGTGGAGATCACTCTACTCGTGGTCAAATTTATCACATTTGAAGATATCACTTTTACACAATGTACATTTGTGTACAAGAAATTGTGAGGAATTGTCTCCTTTGCGTGAGATTCACTCTGACAATTTTTATGTCTTCATCAGCACACGGACCATTTACACATCAGCAATAGAATATTTGACCTTTCTGTTGTGGGAATCTTTTGGTCCCTGCATTATCTCTTCCATCAGCATCGGTCCAGTCTGTAGGTTATTTGCTTCTCTCAGCATCCCCAGCCTTGCTGAGCTGTGGGACAGGCCAAGGCTAAGGCCTGCTAATGAGTAACAAGTGTATTGGAAGATGTCACTGTAACACATTGAGCATGAGGGTTCAACTCGTTTACCAAAGTATTTTCGTGTGTCAAATTTTCCATCAGCTCTGGAATAAGCCACTTGCGTGTTAGATTTGAATAAAATCTGGAACGCTGACTTAATACAATGCTTTGCACGTTTTAACCTAGCATTCTCCCGACCAAAGAGACTGTTACTATATCACGTGATTCGGGGCAAGCCTTATGCTAGCAACCCCCAGCTCCGGCATGGTCTGGTGTCTTTGTGCCATTCTCACCCATTGTGAACGATGTATTGGTGCTGAGCGTCTCTTACGTAACTATGCAAGAGCTTGCCCCGAATCATGTGATTAGCAACAGTGTCTTTGGTCTGGAGAATTCACAGTTAAAATGTGCCAAGCATTCTGAGCAAGTCATTGTACCAGACGTTTTTCAAATGTAAATCCCAAAGGGTATAGGTTACACGCAAATGGCTTATTGCTTACCACACATGTATGGGCTCCGTGTGCCAACAAAAGAGGGCGCGCTTTAACCACTTCTGAGCGCCCCTTGGACGGGACACTGCGTGTGCACACTGTAGTTTGCGCGCGATGTACACACAACTGTTGTATATCCTAAATGCGCACAAAGCCAAGCCACAGCGTCTTCGCACGTGAGGGTTAGGCGTCGTTGGCGCACGAATACGTTTGAATACGTTCGAATACGTTCAAATTTAACTTGCAATGGTCTCCCAGACTAATCCCCGACCCCAATAACTTTGGATATCATTTGAAATACGAAGTGGATGGATCGGAAACTTCTTAAAAAAAAATCTTCTTTGGGTGAACATCTTGACAATTTCCTTTGAATGACTACCTGGAAAAAAATGTGTTTTATTTTGAAATGCAATATTAGTTTATAAATTTATCTTAAATTTTCATTTGGAATTATCTTTTTTAACAATATTTTTTTAAATTGGAGGCACAAAATGATTAAAATGAAATTTTGCAAATTTTTTTTTTTTGCCGACAGGATGACAAGGATTTGGTGCATGAGTTTGTCAGTGCAGACGGGCTGGCCTGTCTCATTAAGGTGGGAACGGATGCTGACCAGAACTACCAGAACTACATCCTTAGAGGTGAGATGATGTAACGGTGCAGCAGGTCCTCGGACCACAGTACTTGTACTTTTGCTGTTCCTTGCCTTTCTTTATAATGTTGTGAGAATGGCTAAATAAATAATAATAATAATAATAATAGTGAATGAAGTCATCAAATCTTTAGCTAAACTGTCAGCAGACTTATTTATTTATTTATTTTTATTTCTTTCTGGTAATGAAACCAAGGATTCCTCAAAAGTGCCCCAGGCACTATAGCTCACGAGCCTGAAAAAAACCTGTAGAGAGGAGACAATGAGAAGAAATTACAGTTTTAGAGGTGGGAGGAAAAGCCCAGAAGAATATTCTGGGGAAAACCCACTGAATCAGGTAGGGACTGAAAACCCAATCCACATATTGGCCCGGATTTGAACCCGGGTCACAGCGGTGGAAGGCGGGGAAAGTACCGCTACACCAACCCTGACTCCCCTGACGTGCGCCACATAAACTGATAAAGGCACATGTGACAGTTGACTGGGATATCGGGTCTTATGCTTGTTTTAAAAGTTATGTATCATGGCGTTCCTAGGGCACATGTTTTTGTACATGTATACATTTGAAAAGATACGTGACTGGAATGATGACTGGTGTTCAGTGTCTTTTGAGGACCAAAATTCTGTATTCTGAAATTCCCTCGCATGATAATTACATGTACATGAAAACTGCAATGTTTGGTGGTGGGAGGGGGGGGGGAGAGGGAAGACAAGTCCCCCCCCCCCCACTTTTTAAAGTGGGGGATATATCGTTTGCCCCCCCCCCCACTTTTTTTCATCCCCGAATAAAAATTGTAGCCTACAATGTATATTTGATCCTGTAGCTCAGAATAGCTGATTCAATTACTCCAAACTCAAAAATAATGTTTAAAATGGTGATCGTTTGAACAAAAAAAATTGGTTAAAGTGGTCAGAATTTGCCTCAGATCGCACTACGGAGTATCTGGAATTCAAAAGTTTTCGGCGCCCTTAGGCGGGCCCCAAACCCCACGCTGCTATGGCTTTGCGCTTCGTGCTCGCTTTAGTTCTGATCAAGGTACGTATGTCCCCCCCCCCCCAATTTTCAAAAACGATGGACGCCCTTGGTGATGTACATGTATATATGTGAATGTAAATATTCTATGTTTACATTGTATTTTTATATTCTATATTACATGTACACACAACCCAAAGGGTGCATGGACTAAAGTGTCCCTTTACAACATTTGTAAGCAGAAGGTTGTCGGTTCGGGTCCTATTCAGTAAACTTTGAAATTTCGATCACAATCTCTTGTGCAATGCTATACAATAATGTACATGCTTAAAGGATTGATTCATGCGCATACTGGAGGGAAGTAAATACCATAGAGTTTGTATTTTCTTCAAGCGAGAATACTCAGAATTTGGGCGCTTGGCGGCAGTGGCACTCGGGTATTCTTCGTATCAGTCACATTTTTTCATTCAAGGTTGACCCTATGTACCATTACCCCAGACCTACCGGTACTCTCACAGTTACCGTATCTAACCCACATGTACGGTAGCTTGAATATGTTGCATTTTTAAAACTCTTTCAGTGCCCGCGAAATTTGAAGGGAAGGAGAATTCCGCACATTTTGCAGAAAATATGAGTGTCAGTGCTGCGCCCTATCGCAAGAACTCGAATGAAACAAATAAATACAGGTCGTAACTGAATGAAAATGATATTATTAGAAAGAGCGAGAGCGCCCCCTTGTGATAACATGCTTACTCTACCTCGCATATGTACAATTTACCGGTACATGTACGAGGTTTGGGGATTTTGAGTACGAACATTACCTCGTAAATGTACGAGGTTGGCAATTTCGAACTAACAAATATACCTCATACGGTACATATACAACTTTGGCACTGGAAGAGTTTATTCTCCCTTTATGTCTATTATTGTTTTTTTGTCCACAGCTCTTGGTCAGATCATGCTGTATGTGGATGGGATGAATGGAGTCATTGATCACACAGACACCGTCCAATGGCTCTACTCATTACTGGCATCAAAGGTGAGTAAAAACGTATATTTATCATTAACCGAGGGTGGGAGAGGGGATGAAAATCTGCCCATGCCTCTGGATTTGTGGTACTTGTTGAAAATCGGACATTTTGTGCAAAATCTTCATCTGATTCTTATGAACTCGATGTCAAAAAGTCCACAATTCAATGTACATTGGTCTACAAACTCACAAAGCTGCAACAGGAGGAAAAAATGTTCAGCGATGATGTATGGAAAAAATACAGGGAGATGGAACCCCCCCAGGCCTTTAAGGGATAACCCAAACCCTCATAGATTATATTCATAATTTACCAGGAGATTTTGAGGATCATGCAGGATTGAGGAATGTAGAGTGAAAACACTGACTTAAAATGGGATGTGATGTCCGTTGAAAGTACAAAGAAAGTGCCATTGGGTTCCTGTACCTTGGTGGATTTTGGAGGATTTAGGGACGTTCCTTGCCGACATTTCCGCCACCGGCTTCACACGCTACCTGGACCATATAAAATTTCAACAGATGACGCAGTGTGGATATATTGCAATGCACAATACAGATACATGGGCGTATGCGCTTTTATTTTCAAACAACCGATTTTTACACATCACACAGTGCACACTATGCTAACACATGACGGATAGTGTTGGGAGATTTCGGTGATTTCTGATTTTTTTTTCAAACCATGCAAACTGAATATCCGATTTTAGATTAGGCCCTCTGAATGATTGGGTGCAGTTTGCAGGATTCAATAAACACTGGGCCTTTACAAAAACACTCCAGAGCTGTAATGTTGAAAAAATTGATGAGAACTCTCGGTAAGTCCAATGGGCAGGCTATTCATATACCGAGAAGACCATTAGCAAATGAATGCAGTTACAATCAGAGACCATGGAGCAAATTGGGGGATGTTCCAGTTGTTTTCTTTAACCTATGTTACCAAAAAAAAAAAATGGAAGGCTGAATTTTTTTAGGGTTGGTTTTGAATATCCGGTTTCCAAAATCGAAACCGAATAGTGGAATTCAAAACGAATTTTTTAAAAATCCAGATTTTAATCCTGCCACTAATGATGGACACAGGGATTTTCGGCCGGAGGGTTGATTTTGATAATGATCTCAACCTAGAGGGATTGTTGGAAAGATTGTGTGCATGCAGCGTCTGTTTTCTAAAAATTATATCATGAGAAAATTGCCAGCTATACACTCAGTAAATATACGTGTAATTTGGTCAATTTTCTTTTATGTAATACATGTACTACAAGCTTGTGTTTTGATTTGGCCTAAGTTGAGCCCCTTCAAAGCAGGTGCAGATGAAAGTTATCTTATTTACTTTATTTGGTATTGTTTCCTGCAGTATCGTCTGGTAGTCAAGACATCACTGAAGCTGCTACTGGTCTTTGTGGAGTACACAGACACAAATGCTACAGTTCTGTATCAAGCAACGTGTGTAGTCGACAAAGAACAAGGTACTTAAGTTAATTTTGTTAACATTGTTTTCCGCGTGCTCTTGAAACAGATTTTCAGCTGATGTCACATCGAAAAGTGAATAACTTTTTCTTTGCTAGAAAAGTTAGCAATTGAGAAAAGAAATCTACTTTTTGGGATGAAATTCGAAAAGAGCACGGGGAACGCCACTTTATAATCCTATTCAGTCGAAAAGCAAAGTCATCCAAAGGCCCGGTTTATGCTTATACATAATTATAATAATAATAATAATTTATTAATTTATAGTGCGCAAATTCCATTTAAAATATGTTCAAATGCACATTACAGTCATAAAAAAAATAAAAAATAAACAGACGTATACGCAAATTCAACAATACAATGAACACTGATACAGGGTACAAAAAATCAAGGTCAAATTTCTGAGACAGTTTACCATGAACAGAGACCCGTTGAGATCGGTCAGACAAATAAGATTTAAACCAGAGGAGAACAGTCCCATCAATACCAAACATGGACTGGAGCCTGTTCAACAAAACCGTATGATCTAAAGTATCGAAAGCAGAACTTAAATCAAGTAAGACTAATAAAGAAACATGTTGTTTGTCCATAGCCATTAGTAAATCGTTTTTAACTTTCAATAAGGCCGTCTCAGTACTATGGTGACTACGGTAGGCCGACTGAGTAATTGGATATAAACCGTTCAATGTTAAATGAGATTGTAGTTGGAGTGCGACTGCCTTTTCCACCAACTTAGATATGAATTGAAGATTACTAACAGGCCTAAAATTTTCCATCTTTAAGTCTAGACTAGGCTTTTTAAGCAATGGTAAAACCACTGCTGATTTCCAGGCTGCTGGGAAATGACCAGTACATAAAGAGGAATTAATCATTCTGGTTATAACAGGCAATAACAGATCTAAAGAACTCATAAGTAACTTCATTGGAATAGGGTCAAGGATACAACACTTCTTACTAGAACCTACAATGAGCTTACGAACACCATCTTCAGAAAGTTGCACAAAATCGGTCAATGTTCCCCCAGACCTAAGTGATGAGGGTGTGGAGGAAGATAACTGAGGTGAGCAGGTCTCATTACTCAATCTCAACCTGATATTGGAAATCTTTTGAACAAAGAAATTACCCATCTCATTCGCAAGCATCGAATCATCGGTGTGCGGTGGCACAAGAGAGCTTTTGTTAAGATTGAGCAGAGACCTGCTAACCTGAAACAATTTCCGTTGATCACTACTATTTTCATTAATCAAGTTGGAATAGTAATCCTGACGAGCATTGTTCATCAAGAAAATGACCTTATTTCTGTTCAACTTAAACAAATCAAAATCACGCTGAAGCCCAGTTGTTCTCCATCTCCTTTCAGCTTTTCTACGCATTTTCTTAGCAATTCTGATTTCCTCATTAAACCATGGTACGCAGGGCCGAGCAATAATCATTTTTTTAACAACAGGAGCATGATGATCAACAATGTCACTAAGCATGCTAAGGATGGTATTATATGAAATGGCCAAATGGTCAAGATCATCAGATTTACCTTGGCTTGAGTCGTTATTACACAAATCAGATTCAGAGATTTCATTCTTAAACTTATCCATATCTACAGAGCTAATCTTCCTATAAGATACCTCTTTTACAGATAAATCAGGTTTGTTTAAAATAAGTTTACACAAAATGGAATAATGATCTGAGAATAAATAATCAACAACAGGCATACGTTCAATTATTGTCTCTGATTTACGGGTAATGATCAAATCCAATGTATGTTCTAGAACATGAGTTGATTGTTCAATATGCTGTGTAAGGTTCAATGATTCCAGTAGCTCAGAAAACCGTATTGCTTCATAGTTGTCAGCATCATCCACATGAATGTTACATGTAAATATGCAAAAGCGCAAGCAAAGCTAATTTAATGATGTCAACAGTTGAAGTTTCATTGTGAATTTTCCCAGTAATAATAATAATAATAAAGAACATTTGTAAAGCGCCGGTATGCGCCTAAAAAGGCGTCATGGCGCTGGAGGAGAAAGTCAAGTTAGGATTGTGTGTTGTGAGAGTAAGCTTGTTTGTACAGGTGAGATTTTATATTTGTCTTAAAATGTTGTAATGGATGGAGATGATTTGATAGCCAGAGGGAGTTGGTTCCACACTCGGGTTGACGCTGCAGTAAAGGATCTGTCACCCCACAGAGTGGAGGTCCTGGGCTCGTGAAGCATCATGAGCTTACTGGAGCGGAGTCCGGTGCGTGCTGTTGAGTACGGGTGGATGAGCTCGATGATATACTCCGGCGCATTGTTGTGGAGGATTTTGTACACAAATAGGCCAAGTTTGTATTTGATTATGTATGATACTGGAAGCCAGTAGAGATCTGCTAATACAGGAGTGATGTGAGAATGTTTACTAGTGAGAGAGATTAGTCTGGGACTGATGTTTTGTAGTCGCTGCAAACGGTTTAGTTGATTTAGGTTAATGCCATACAATAGTGAATTACCCATGTCAATTTGGGATGTGATGAAAGCGTGAACAAGTATTTCAGTTGTGTGTTTGTCAAGATATTTTCGTATGTCTCCGATGTTACGGATCGACATGCAGACTGATCTAGAGATTGATGTAAGGTGAGGTTCCATGGATAGAGATGAATCAAAGATAATGCTGAGATTTCTGACTTGATTTGATGGCAGGATGGTCGAATCACCAACCCTTATGGATGGAACATGAACTTTACACGATTGCTGCTTTGAACCTATGATGATAAATTCGGTCTTTTCATTGTTGAATTTGAGCCAGTTGTGAGTCATCCAAAAAGTACCCTAACAAATACATGTACATTTCGCACTGAATTTGGCTATGGACTGGCCTTAAAAGACATACATGTATATACATGTAGGATCATTTGCTTTTCATGCATTTTATTTGTTTCCAATAATAATACCACTCAAAATCGAAAGAAAAATATTCAAAACCTAACCTGTTGAAGTTTTAGCTCAGTAAACAATGACACTTTGTTTGAGAAAACAGTGAAAAACTACTTACGACATTTTGATCACAAAAACAAAATTTTGTCGTAGCACTCCATTCCAAAAATGTGTCAATTGACTCATCGTTGGAAAGCGCCTAAATTTCTTGATTTCTTCTAAATGGCAGCAAGCCAGAAGGAATAGTTTCATACATGTAGGGTGCTTAGAATCAGTAAGACCTTTAGTCCAAGCAACATTTTTGATAATAATTCGGTACTTTTGGGATAAATGCAAATGATCTTTTATAAGGGCTGACCAACAGTCAAACAACAATCTCAGTAGTATTATTTGCATCGCTGCTATGTTCAGGCTCCAAGCCTATGGGCTCTGTGCGCGAAGAGGGCGCATTTTTACCGCTCTTGAGAGCTCCATGGACGGGACACACAGCGTGCGCGTACTGCACTGGTTCGCGCGAAGTACGCATAACTTCCTGAATGTGCAAAAGCTATAGCCATAGCATCTTCGCGTGAGCGTCAGGGGTCGTCGGCGCGCAAATACATTCTAATTCAACTTGCGATGGTCTCCGAGACTAATCCCCACCTCCAATAACTTTGGATACATTCAAATACGCAGTGGATGGATCGGGAACCAGTCTAGGTCACCCCCAACTCTCCTTTTCTGGCCGTTGATGGGGTACTTGGACGGAACCCATTGGTCTTCAGTATGGGCAGAAAGATTCGAGCGTAGATACCGGAGTCCGAACCACCAACCTTTTAATGTGGGGAGGGTGGTTGGGGTCTCAACTGAAACTTACCAATCTTCGGAGCATTAAAAACCTCCAAGACAAACCAGAACCTGCATTGACTTACTGTTCTCCCTCGCTGCAACCAGATTCAACACTTAAAGGGAATATACATCATTTGCTTTTGCTGTAATTTTCAGAAATGGATGGAATTGGGGGGTTGGAAATATATAGCAAATATAGTTAAACTGACTTTTTTGAGGTTTTGGGTTCGAAAATGCTATAAAAACCAAGAAAAACAATAATTTTCATGTAGTCTGGTTCCCCGACTCCATATAAAAAGAAACAGAGCAGTTTACATACATTGGGGAATTGTAAGGTCAGGGAACCAGTCTAGCTGGCTTGTACCCGTTCATAGGTGTGTAATCGATTGCAAACAAGTGCGATGGTCAATTGGGGCCAGTATTTGAAAAAAAGCCAGTTTTTTCCAACGCTGGCCGGCTGACCAGCGTTGGAAATTGATACAAAAATACCACTTTTCTTGAAAATGACAGTATACCAGGTGCCATGATTTTACAGGATGCTTTACACTGTCATTCACTAACAGTCCAGCAAGGTATTTCAAAATGATTTGGTAGTTTTATTTTTTGATGTTTGCAAATGTTGTATATTCCCTTTAATGTACATGTACTCTTCCGCCCTCTACGTTCATTTAATAGATTTCGGATTTTTCTCCTTTTTTTCTCTACAAGGCAAGTCAACATGGAGCAATGTGATGGAACTCCTGAAGGACGAGGGCCAAGATTCAGAGGTCCTCCTGTATGCCATGTCACTCATCAACAAGGTGGGAATATAGACCTACTTATGTACATTTAAAAATCACGTAGGCAATGTTTGCGAGTATTTGCAAATATATTCACAAGCTATAATGATTTGTTTCAAAGTAATACAAGTATTTATACAGTGTTGGATGGCTTTGAATGGGATACAATAAATGTTGCATGAGCTGTGCTATTTATATTGCAGGAGTTGACAACAAGTGCAGTATTGTTGAATGAGTTAAAGGGAATGTACAACATTTGCTTTTGCTGCAATTTTCAGAAATAAATGGATTTGCAAAAAATAAATGTTATAGCAAGTATTGTGAAACTGACTTGTTTCACGTTTTGGGCTTGTAGATGCTGGAAAAACTAAGAAAACCAATCATTTTCTTGTAGTCTGGTTCCGTGATCCCACTTAAGATGAAACGGAGCAATTTGTAAACTTTGAAATTGCAAGGTCAGAGAATCAGTCTGGCAGGCTTGTACCTCTTCACAGGTGTGTAATCAATTGCAAAGAAAATGCGGAATAACTAAATATGAAAAATTAGGAGCAGTTTTGAAAATAAGCCAGTTTTCTCTAATGCTGGTCGGCCCACCAGCGTTGGGAAAATACCATTTTTCTTGCAAATGTCAGCACATCAGGAGCCACAATTTTACAGGATGCTTTTAGACTGTCATTCCCTAACAATCCAGTACAAGGTATTTCGTGATAATTTGATCATTTCGTTTTTGGATGTTTGCAAATGTTGTATTTCCCTATGAAGACTCATTTAAACAATATTATTGTTATTATTTATATAGGGTGACTTGATCCCAAAGAAATAAATTTGGCTTTCCTCACTTAAACAAAGAACTTTGAGAAAATACCCACAAGCGTAAGCGTATCCAGCATCTCAAAATCCATTGTTTGATTCTTCCCTGCCAGATACATTCGCAGAATATTTACTACCTTCTTGATTGCTCTCAAGGTATTTTCAATGTCACTCAAATAAAAGGTCTTATCGTTCCCGTTCATTTGATACCACATTTGAGATGGTGATGCTTGCAGTTCGGAAGATTTCATAAATTTTCCATTTTTCAGCCGTGTCCACTTTGGAATTGCCCAGTATCTTTGTGCTTTGAAACTATAGTTGCAATTTATTTTCATCTTCATTTGATTGCCTGAAAATATGGCAGATTTGGTCACCACTGCCCCAGTAGACTCACATTTGATAAAGTAGAGACTACCACACATTTGTTTTGAATCACATGGTTCTTTTTTTTTCTTTATATTTCACCCCAAAAAGTTCCTTTTTTATTTCTTTATTGATTTCATTAGACTCTGAATAGCATACCAGACCAGGACACCTTTTATGACATCACAGACTCCCTAGAGCAGCAAGAAATAGAGGAGGCCACTAAGAAGCTGATGAGCTGCAAGGGAACCGACCTAGACCTGGTGGAACAGTTCAAGTCGTATGAGGTAAAGACCGGGAACTAGACCGAGACATCCAAAGTGGGAATTATTGGCTAAGGTTTTCAGTCGTTTACCAATTTTAATTCTCAAACCTAAGTTATAGAAACAATGAGGTCACGCTTTGTTTACATGTTTTTGCTTTTTTTTCTTTGGAGCCTGGTGGGAACGAGAGCCACCAAGCTCCCATAAAAAAGTGCATATGTAAACGAAGCATGATGTCATTTCATCAGATGACTACATTTTTTTTAATCAGGTGGAATTTTAAAGGTGCTTTCCCCGTGCTATTTTTGAGTTTCATCTCGAAAAAAAATTGATTTCCTTTCTAAATTGCTATTTTCCTAGCAGTACAAAAGTTATTCAATTTTGAGTGAGACATCAACCAATTATTATTACTAATATGTGTTAACTGTATCTGGTAATGAAACCAAGGATTCCTCAAAAACACGGCCTGTAGCTTGCAAGACTGAAAAAAAACCTGTAGAGAGAAGACAGTGAGAAAAAAATTACAGTTTTACAGAGCGGAGGAAAACCCCAGGAGAATATTCTGAGGGGAACCCAAAGAATCAGGTAGGGACTGAAAACACAATCCACATGTGGACCAGGGCAGGAATCGAACCCGGGCCATAGAGGTGGAAGGCGAGGAAAGTAACCACTGCGGCAACTTGACTCCCTAAAAAACTAAAGAACTAAGAAGTAAAGTAAGACCAAAACTCTGAAGTGACCAAAGTAAAAGACTTGAGAGAGAAGAAACAATATCTCAATGATTGTTTGAATGATTTCAATTCTCCAAGAAGATTAAGTTCTACCTGTTTTCTCTCTGTCTCTGTCCAGTACGCACTCAAGCAAGAAGACGGCGACATTGACATCCCTGTAGAGCGTAAGCACAACCTGCGTAAGCACCGGCGCAGCGCTGAGCTGGTGGACAGGAAGAGTCTCCGTCGGTCCCTGAAGCCAACGGCCGAGTACAGCGTGGACAAGAGAGAGTTGAGACGATCCCTGGATCTGGGGACCAGCCTGTCACCGGATGATGCGAGGAGGATCAACGACAGCAGTAGGAGAAGGGAGAACAGGTGCGGAAGTGAAGACAAAGAGTGTGTCTTATTTCTTAGGCTGTGTTTGAATTACTTGGCAATGCCCGGCAGTAACACTGGGCTTGGACTATATTTCAATAAAATGGTATAATAAAACATATTATAATAAAACATATAAAATGGTATAATAAAACATATTTTCTTGATACCGAAAAATATCAAAATACCAAAATACAACCTCAGTGTGAAATTTCATTACTGATATTTTCTCACTGAAATGTGACCAGATGTGTACAAAGCCTTTAAACGGTGACAGAAACAACTTGGCCAGATCTGCACTACCGGTATATGGATAGTTGTTTAAATTCCTTGTGGCCGTGGTATCAAGATAAGGTGAAAATGGGCTTACTAGTCATCCAGCAGGGCCTTTGAAGTTCTGCACATGCTGCCTGTTTGCGGTTTCCCTGCAGCCACATGTCTTATTGTATTTTGATTACATAATAGTCCGCCCAGAAAAAGTACCTAATAATACCGAATATTGCGATAATTTTGTGACGGTATGGGCTCCGTGCACCTACCAAGAGGGCGCCCTTTTACCTGGCAACAACGTCCCATGGGCGGGATACATACATTTCGCTGGTTGACACGCGCGCACCGTTCCTTGTGTGTGACGTACGTACGCCAGCGAGTTTCTACTATGTACACACAATGGTCGCGCTTCGTGACAAAATATTGCAGTCAGGCAAGATGGTGTCGTTCGGTCACCCCCAACTGTACTTTCTTTGCCGTTGAGGGGGTATTTGTGAACGGAGTGGATACCTTGGCTTCTCAAAAACAAAAAGTACATTGTTAGGGGCTTCAGCCGGTTCTGTGAACTCCATGTACCAACAGTAGATTGCCTACACTGCGAGGGGCACACTGCGAACCTCTGCTTGCATAGCGTGAAGTATGCACATCTTCTTTTATTGTAAATGTGCACAAACCTGCAGCGTCTTGGCACAAGCGTCAGACGTCATCAGAGTTTCCTCCCAGTGGTCTCCCCCAACTCTCCCTTTGCAACTATTGAGGAGGTACTTGTGCATGGATTCCATAGAGGCAATGTTTTCAGCCAAGTAAACTTTTCCTTCTTTATTTCTTTGCCAGGAGGAATCGGGCCAGGTTATCCATGGACAACGCGGGCCACTCGGACTCCCCGAGCACGGAGAAAACCGTCCAGGAAATGCTGGAGGAGCGGAGAATGCGACGGAGAGCCGGGGAGCAAGATGGATCAAGCCGGGAAGACACGTCAGCTCCGACAACAGACATGAGCGCCTCAGAGTACAGTAGCAGTAAGTCTAGATTGTGCTCAATGTTTCGTTGCAAATTTGCCCATTGCATTATGACACATTGTGTTTGTACCCCACTAGGTGACAGCTGTCTTTGCTTGCAGTCAGTGATAAGGAGGCAGATCAGTTGGATGTGTATTGGGTAGTATTCATTGCCCCAGGTAGTTTATATTTAGAAGTCTATTCAGTGATAATCTCATTAAAATCATCACTGAATATTATTATATATTGGATGGTTCTAGGTGCTACAACAATATACACGTAGTGCGTATTTTTTTCCAAGAGCCAGTAGCTACAGAGTTGGGTTCAAACATTTCGTGAAGGGGTGGTTTGTATAAGAGAGGGACGCATTTCCCACCAATTTTGTATTGAAATAGAAGTTCATTTTAGCTGATATGTCAGTTCTATAAAACAAATATTGATTGGCTTTAAATTGTGAAATGGGAGGAATATTATTGCTCGGTAAAATCTGGACTTTCCACTTCACTCACCTTCGCCTCGTGAAATACAAAAGTCCAGATTTTACCTTGCGATAATATTCCTCCCATTCCACTCTGAGCCACTCAATATTTTATACCATTCCACGTTAAATAAATATACATGTGTAGGTTCCACTGCCCAGTAACACTATTACCAATCAGATGACTAGGATTTATTGAGGTGTTATGTGTATTAACTGTCTTCCATTGAAGGCAATACCTGTGCATTACTCAGCTATGGTAGCATTGCAATTGTAATGTTAGAATTAGTAGGAAGATTAATAGCAGCATTTCAAGGCGTTTCCTTTTTCCAGCAGGTCAATTCCAATGGCGAAGAATTGTGTAGGATCATTCTTTTCCTTCAAAAATTATTCTCACAATCACATTACTCAGTTTTTATTCTTATCTCATGTTATGTAATGTACTAACAAAGGCAGAACTAAAGAGCAACTTCTCTCCCTTGATCTAGCCAAGATCCCGTGGAGGCGCGGACGAACGCGGCAGCCACCTGGCCAAAACCCACCTACAGAGGGCGGTGTCAGCAGTGAGTTGGGCATTGCATCCTCCCCTCTCCTCTGCAAAAAAAAAGAAAAAAAAAGAAAAGAACTTGCTGCCCGCGCCCATCCTGCTTGGCTTTCATTCCATGTGCAACTTTCTTAACTTTTTCCCTGCCCCAGAATTCTTAATCTACATGACTAATTTTACAGGAGAATGTTATTTGTGTTTCTCCCATTGATTGCAAGTGTAGTAAAAACATAAACTGCAGATTTTTATTAGGCAGTAATTTTGTAAAGCCTGCAATAAAATTTAATTGGTTTCATTTTTTTCCAAGTATTTTATCATATGTCATTTTCATAAACATTTCTTGAATTCTTGGACATGCATTGATTATACATTATGACCCAGGGGCCGATTTCATGAAACTCATCTTATCTTGCGACTCATCTTAAGACGAGTCCCCGCTCTAAAATCAATCTTAGCTACTACGCATCCTACGACCGATTTCACCAAACTCATCTTAGCAAGACGCATCAACACTACCAATTTGATGGCTGTTTCATGTTTGTTTTTATACCACTTGACGAAACAGTCGTTGAAAAGAAACGCGCAAAACCAACTTCCTGCGCGTGTGCATAGAACACAAACTTTCGCCAGTCTACTCAATAAATGTTACACGCAACGTTGGCCTGCACAGGCCTGCACAAGATATGATAGAGTCATTACTTCCCGTTTCATCACTCTATTAAAAAAAAAATAAGTTGACGTGGTGTTGGCTTACTACCCACGTGTCAGAAATCTTTTCAAATTTGTTCTACAGCAGTTTTCTTCCTCGAAAAATTACTCTAGGCCGACACGCATCTTTAATGACGAGACATTGCAGTGATTTCCAGACGATATACAAATTAACGCAGGCATTAATGAGATAAGATGACCCTCAGACCGATATTAAGTTAAAACGAGTTTGCTGCATTGCTAAGGCAGTTAGGTGAAATCGATCCTAGGACGCGTCACGAGTTAAGACAAGTAACCTTTCCTATGATACGTCTTAGTGTTTAGTGAAATCGGCCCTCGTTTCCACTCTTAACTGTGTTCCCTCTCTTAACTGTGTTCCAGCCTAAAGCGATATTGATAACTAGGACATGAAATGGCATGGTTTATGGGAAGGACTTTTTGCTGCTTTTTAATGTGGAGTTTGACACCATACAGGGTGAGTCAAAAAAAGCGAAACCCAAATGTCGGGACTATTGTTTTAGTGAAGTTCTGCATGTAGCACTTTGAAAATCTAGGATATGAAAGCCCGATTCATTAGCTTTCTTTTAGTACATTACTCATTCAAATCACTCATGTACTTTTTAAGTTGGGGAATTTTAAACACAACCCCTGTTTTAAAGTTCTGTCCACGGATCACAATAAAGGTGTACATTCTTTCAGCAAAACAAAAACAATTCACACGACTCCCCGTGTAATTTGTTTTCATTTTGCTAAAAGAACACTTACCTTCTTGTGATCCTTGGACAGAACTTTCAAATGACTGTTGTGTTTAAAATTATGAATTTGAAAAGCACCTGAGTGATTTGAATGATTCTTGTACTAAAAGAAAGCCCATGAATTGAGCTTTTGTTTCCTAGATTTTGAGAGGGCTACATGCTGAACTTCACTAATGACTAAAACAGTTGTCCCGAACTTTGGGATTCGCTTTTTTGACTCACCCTGTATGTATTGCTTGTATACTTCAGTATCCTGCAAAATTTCAGAACCCACTAACACCTCTGATTGTAATACACATATAATGAGCTTGTCTTGAAAGGAACATAAGTAGGGAATAAGTAGGTTAAACCAAGGTACTAGAAAACATTCCTGCAATGAAATTGAAGACATACATGTATCATGAGCGTGGAATTCTTCTAGATATTTCCCTTTGACACAACGGCACCTGATCGGCTTTGAAAGCTTTGTGAAAACAAGTTGGTAATCTAGACCACAGATGATGCAGCCGGGCGCCACGGCAACACCTCTCAAAGGCGACTGATATATTGCCTAGCAACCACTCAGCTGCCTTTTCACTTTTGTCACCCGTGTTGTACGAGAGTGTGAATTTAAAGAATCATTTTTCTCTCTCCTACTTTTAATCAAAAAGAGATATCATAAAGTGTCTCACACCTTTTTTTTTTTCACAGTGGCCATTAAAGATACTTGCAATTCCAAAAAAAAGATGATGTTAAATGGATTTTCAGCTACAGAATGTTAGATTTCATCAATTCAATTTGGCATTTGTACATCTCATGGTGTATAAAATCCATGACACTTTTGAATAATAATAATTTGTGGTGCTTATATACCGCTTTATACCTATGAGGTTTCAAAGCACTTCATCATTATTACCCTGCTCATTTGGGCCAATGAAACATTCCAAATACTGTACCATCTCAGCTCCCTGGAGAGTACACAGCTCAATGCTGCCATTTCGGCGCAAAGCAGCTAACTCAACCACAATAACCATCTCTGCCCTCACAGGTACCCATTTACTCCTGGGTGGAGAGAAGCAATGAGTGACAAAGTACTTTGCCTAAGGGCACACTCACCATAGCCACAGGCTGGACTCGAACCCACAACATGCAGAATTACCCGCAGACGACAAATATCAATGCTCCAGACCACGAAGCTATGACACTCCACGGCACGTGACTTTGGTTTCAGAAATCTCCCCCCCCCCAAAAAAAAAATACTGGATTTGAAGAGAAATATGATACAATTTAATTAGCAGTTCAGAACAGAAATTCATATAATTTCTCGGTTTTCCTTTTTTTGGGGGTGAAAAACAGTGATCAAAACATTCAATTTATAGTGATGACACTGGGTCTTTAAATATGCAAACAACATAGAAGTGCTCGTTTCATCTACATGTACATGTACATTTTTCTGTGCATGTATCTTTAATTGTCAAAGGATTCAATTCTGCGAGTGTCTGCTATTTATTCGCTTCACACCACCACGTTGTCACTAGTGACACATTCGGAAATGCCACAGCACAAACACATACCAGACGGCTATGCACAGTACAGAAATACATTAAAAAAAGGAAGAAGGATTTACTAATGAGACAGTCTGGCATTTCTGTGTAAGATGCTGGGATGATCGTAAACACACTCACTTACATATGTTCCTTCGTGCTGACTACATATTGTGAGAACCTGCATGGATTTGATACCTTGTTGTTTTCTTTGCTTCGAGTGGATATAGTCAGATTTTCATTTGGTATCAATTGGTGAGTAAATTACTAAGTGAAAATATTACATGTCTTTGCTCCGTTACTCGTAATGACTTACATGTAGACTTGATTATGCATATTATCAGCAATGTAACCAGCAATATCTACAGCTAGGCTTGTGGGGTATTGGATTTTGAGAGTCTCCGGTATATCATCACAAAAATACCGTAGTATTCGGTATCACCAGTAGTAGGGGGAGATAGGAGAAATATTTGGGGGAATTGTGCCTTTGACATGTTTGATGATACAAGCATGGCATGTGGCACACAGTCAGAGTATGTCTTGAGAACGATATTTAGCTATAGGACCATCACAGATTTGTCCTTTGAAAAAATAAAGGTAGAATAACAAGCCATTGTCAAATTTTTCAAAATGGCTGCCATTCAAAGGACAAATCTGCAATGGCCCTATAGCCAAATATCTTTCTCATGACATACATGTACCGTACTCTGACTGTGTGCCAAATGCCATGTTTGTACAGTCAAACCTGTACAGAAAGACCGCTCAAGGGAAACAATAAAAGCGGTCTTTATAGACAGGTGGTCTCTCTGTACAGGTTGGAAATATTTGCCCTCCCTTTGGCTTCCCTAACTTAATGCGGGGGGTCATTACAGTCTAAACCTGCCTTATCCAAACGTACATGTATGTTCTTCTTTCTTTTAGTTATTTGTTTAAAACATAACTATTCCTTAAAAAAAAATGAAATTTAAAGTCATAAATGTGAATGATTTCAAAAAGTGTTTATTATTTTATGT